TGCCATAAAGGAACCATAGAAAAGCCTAGAAGCTGGAGCAGGAGGGGGACTTGTGGTGAAACTTTCTGCCCTCCTCTTCCAATTTGCACCTCTCTTGGAACTGCCAGGTCGGTTTTCTTTTTTTTCTTTTTTTTCTTTTTGTCGCATTTTTTTGTAGGCATTTCTCTCTCTCTCTCTCTCTCTCTCTCTCTCTCTCTCTCTCTCTCTCTTTCTCTCTCTCTTTCTCTTTCTCTTTCTCTTTTTTTTTTTCTTTGAGACAGAATGTCACTCTGTTGCCCAGGCTGGAGTGCAGTGCTGCAATCTCGGCTCATTGCAACCTCTGCCTCGCAGGTTCTAGAGATTCTCGTGCCTCAGCCTCCTAAGTAGCTGGGACTACAGGCACCTGCCACCACGCTTGGTTAATTTCTGTATTTTCAGTAGAGATGGGTTTTCACCATGTTGGCCAGGCTGGTCTCAAACTCCTGGCCTCAAGTGATCTGCCCACCTTGGCCTCCCAAAGTGCTGGGATAACAGGTGTGAGCCACTGCGCCTGGCCGTCTTGTACTGATTTCTAATACCCATGCCTTCCTGCTTGGCTGTTTGTTGCTCCACTGCTAACAATGGTGAGTCCAGAGTCCTGCACCACCCTTGGCTCAGGGCTAGAGGCGCCCCTGGCCAAGCTCTGTGGAGGGCTCTGGTCTGGTACCTCCGGGCTATGTACCTTCCCCTAGGCTGAGAGGTTCAGGGAGCCATGGGGATGCGCCCACCTGGACCCTATACTCCCACTTTTCTGCTCCACACTCTGGATACCTGGACCTAGATCCCCTGTCCAATCAGATCAGAACCCATTTCCAGGGCCTGTACCAGTCTCTCCCCCAGCTCATCCTCCTGAGGGTGGCCCGCAGTGAAGGTATGAGCATTCCTGGACCTGAGCCAAGGGAGCTGTTTATGGGGGGTGTGGATGGTGTTTGCACATGTGGGCTGGGGCGTCCACGCGCATGCAAAGCCCCTTAGGGTGCAGATCAGAGCCCAGGTGGGAAGTGGGGCAGCCCGGGACTTCCATGGGTTCGGTCCATGCTGCCACGTCCTGATGCCAAACTCTGGAAAGTCTGAGAATTCCAGATTCAAACCTGACCTTCCAGGTCCTTCTGAGGGTGCATTTGTCAAGGTAGAAGGATAGAAGGAAAACTAGGTCGTGTGCAGTGACTCACACCTGTAATCCCAGCACTTTGGAAGGTTGTGACTGGCAGATCACTTGAGCCCAGGAGTTTGAGACCAGCCTGGGCAACATGGCAAAACCCCTGTCTCTACAGAAAATAAAAAAAATTAGCCGGGTGTGGTGGTGCATGCCTGTGGTCTCAGCTACTCAGAGGATGAGGTAGGAGGATTGCTTGAGCCTGAGAGGTGGAGGCTGCAGTGAGCTATGATCATTGTGCCCTGCACTCCAGCCTGCACAACAGAGCGAGACCCTGTCTGAAAGAAAAAAGAAAAAGAAAAGAAAAACTAGGTTAGCAAAGGCACAAGGCATGCTTGGACATTGACCACTCCAGCCAGCCACATCCTCAGAACAGAACCTTCGCCCTGGTATTCAGTGAGGGTGGTCTAACAAGTGAGGCAGCCTGCTGGAGTCAGGCATTTGGCTATGAGTCACAGCCCTTCCATTCATTGGCTGTGTGACCCTAGGAAAGTCATTTCACCTCCCTGAGCCTTACTCACTTCATCTATAAAATGGGAATGATGCCAACAGGGTAAGTTAGACAACACAGGCTAAGTACCTAACACAGTGCCTGGCCTGCAGCTAAAATAAAACTCAAAAACTGGCAGCTGTTTGGATGACACGAAACGTGCTGCCAGGGCTCAGGGCCTCGCCCAGCAAACACCCAGGCTTTTCTGGTGCTTATGACCCCAGAAACGTTGCTTTTCTCTTCTTTGGATGACCACTGTGGAAGATGTGCTTGCTCATGACTTTTTAAACTTTATTATTTTTACTTATTTTATTATGTATTTATTTATTTATTTTGAGATGGAGTCGCACCCAGTCTGGAGTGCAATGGCATGATCTCGGCTCACTGCAACCTCTGCCTCCCGGGTTCAAGTGATTCTCATGCCTCAGTCTCCCAAGTAGCTGGAACTACAGGCACATGCCACCAGGCCCAGCTAATTTTTGTATTTTGGGTAGAGACGGGGTTTCACCATGTTGGCCAGGCTGGTCTCAAACTCCTGACCTCGGGTGATCTACCCGCCTTGGCCTCCCAAAGTGCTAGGATTACAGGTGTGAGCCACTGCGCCCGGGCTATTTTTATTTATTTCTTAACTTATTTATTTATTGAGACAGGGTCTGGTTTTGTCACTCAGGCTGGAGTACAGTGGCACAGTCGTAGCTCACTGCAGCCTCCACCTCCTGGGGTCAAGCGATTCCCCCTGCCTCAGCCTCCTGAGTAGCTGGGATCATAGGCACATGCCATCACACCTGGCTAATTTTTATGTATTTATTTTGTAGAAACAAGGGCCTCACTATGTTGCCCAGGCTGGTCTCAAACTCCTGGACTCAGGCGATCCTCCGTCCTTGATCTCCGAAAGTGCTGGGATTACAGGTGTGAGCCACCACGCCCAGTCAATAACTTTATTGACTAGTAAGTCCCATAAGTGGCAGATGTCATGACCATTTGGGAACCTGGGTGCATAGTACATTGGTTAAATTGGGAGACATCACCTTTTCTAAAACACTTGCTGGCTTAACGTCATTGGCAAAGAAAATGCTATGGTCACCAGTGGATGCTGTCTTCTTCCAGGCGGAGACAGCTGTCCTTTCTGTCTGAAGCTACTGCTTCCGGGGTTATTACTGCTGCTGCTGGTGATAATCCTAATTCTGGCTTTTTGGATACTGCCCAAATACAAAGCAAGTAAGTTCTTTTAGTCGCTTTACCACCATTTTCCCATGGGTTTGGGTTACAGACAGCAGGGCAGAGGGTGAGGAGAAAGAGAAAAGGGGATTGGAAATAGAATAGGGAGAAAATGAAAACAGGAGGAAAAGATGAGAAAGGGGAGCGGGAATGGAACAGACTTCCTGAACGGTTCATGCAGAGGGTAATTCTTTCTCCAGGGAAAGCCTTTTCTGATTGAGGGCGAGCAGAGTTGGCTTCACAGACGTGCAGCCTGTGCAGTCACACAGGGCCCTGTGCCGAGAAGAACTCCACATTTGGTATTTATTTATTTATTTGTTTGTTTGTTTATTTATTTTTGAGACAGAGTTTTGCTCTTGTTGCCCAGGCTGGAGTGCAGTGGTGCGATCTCAGCTCACTGCAGCTTCCGCCTCCTGGGTTCAAGCAATTCTCCTGCCTCAGCCTCCCAAGAAGCTGGGATTACAGGTATCTGCCACCACACCCAGCTAATTTTTTTTTTTTTTTTTTTTTTAGCAGAGACAGGGTTTCACCATGTGAGCCAGGCTGGTCTCGAGCTCCCGGCCTCTGGTGACCCGCCCGCCTCAGCTTCCCAAAGTGCTGGGATTACAGTCATGAGCCACTGCTCCCGGCCGCATCTTGAAATTCTTAATGATTTTTTTGTACTCTTTTAAAAATGGTTAATGGTGGTAAAATATACATAACACTAAATTGGCCACTTTAAACCATGTTTAAATGTATAGTTCGGTGGCATTAAGCACGTTCCCATTGTCATGCACCCTTCTTCACCATCCACGTCCGGAACTTTTCCATCTTCCCAAACTGAAACTCTGTGCCCGTTACGCACTAGCTCCCTATCCCTTCTTCCCCCAGGCTCTGACAACCACTATTCTGCTTTCTATCTCTATTAGTTTGACTCTTCCAGGCACCTCATAGAAGTGGAAGCATTTGTCCTTTCATAACTGGCTTATTTCACTTCGATTAATGTCCTCAAGGTTCATCCATGTTGTCGTATGTGTCAGAATTTCCTTCCTTGATAAGGCTGAAGAATGCCCCATTGTACATAAGTACGCCACACCTTGTTTATCCATTTATCCCTCCTGGGTGCCCGTGTTGCTTCCACCTTTTGTCTATTGTTTAATAATGCTAGGAACGTGGGTGTGCAATTATTAATGTTTTTAAACAAGAGGCCCTTTTCTCTTCTTTGTATGACTTCTTGTGAAAGACGTACTTGGTCATGACTTTAAGAACTTGTGTTCCTTTTTCTCTCTCTCTCTCTTATTTTTTTATTCTATATTAAATAGAGATGGGGCCTCACTATGTTGCTCAGGCTGGTCTCGAACTCTTGGGCTCAAGCAATCCTCCCCCCTCGGCCTCCCAAAGTGTTGGGATTACAGGCGTCAGCCACTGTGCTGGGCCAAGAACTTGTGTTCTTAATTAAACACAAGTTTTAGGCATGTGAACAATGTTCGTTTCGCCCTGGGCGCTGCGAGTGGTGCGGCTGCTCCTGACTGCAAGTACCTCAAGCAAGAGCTTTGCCTTGTGCGACTCTAGATCTGCCACATACGTAGGGGAGGCTCAGTGCATGACGACAAGCAAGCGTCATCCCATTAGCACAAAAGACACCTTCAAAAGGTTTACAATTGTTTGGGGCTGGAAGTATTAAAAATATTAGGTTGGTGCATAAGTAATTGCAATTTTTGCCATTACATTTATGGCAAAACCCGCAATTACTTTTTTTCCTTTTTTTTTGAAATGGAGTCTTGCTCTGTTGCCCAGGCTGGAGTGCAGTGGTGCAATTGCGGCTCACAGCAGCCTCTGTCTCCCTGGTTCAAGCGATTCTCCTGCCTCAGCCTCCTGAGTAGCTGGGATTACAGGCACCCATCACCATGTATTTTTAGTAAAGACGGGGTTTCACCATGTTGATCCGGTTGGTCTTGAACTCCTGACCTCAGGTGATCTGCCTGCCTCAGCCTCCCAGAGTGCTGGGATTACAGACGTGAGCCATTATGCCCGGCCCATAATTACTTTTGCACCAACCTAATATATATATATTTTTTCTTTCTACATTTCTATGCTTTCTAGATTTTCAATGTAAAAGTATAATCTATTCTACTATAAGATTTTTTTTTAAAAAAAAACCTTATTAAACACACCAGACTCAAAAAAAACAAAAACAGAAACAAAAAAGCATCATTTCTCTCTTCCCAACCTTAAGTGCTTCATCCAGCAGAAAAGTTGTCAATGTTATTAGAAGAATCAGTTATAGCTTTTTTTTAAAAAAAATGTTTTTTAGAGACGGGGGTCTCACTATGTTGCCTAGGCTGGTCTTAAACTCCTGGACTCAGGCGATCCTCCCACCTCAGCCTCCCAAAGTGCTGGGATTACAGGCATGAGCCACTGTACTCAGCCCACTTACTGCTTTTCATTCCTCACGTCTTATGGCCACCGCTGGTTAAGACTTCAAAGTGGTTTTTTCATTTGGCACATGAGTGCGGAAGAATATGAAGATTTACACAAAAGACAGTTTGTGTCTCAGCACTGGTGCCCATCAGCAAGCTGAGGGCTATTGGACAAGCCCCTCAGGCTGTTGCTTCTGCGCCTTGGTGTTCTGACTTGTGGAATGGGCCATGGAGATATTGTCAGAACTGGCAAGAGAACCAATTGGGAACCATTTCCAGAGAGTCACAACTCAGAGAAGTCAGGGACTCAGCTGACATAAAACTTGACCACAGAGGTCACGAGTTATACATCTGATGCATCTTTAAGATTTTATTTTATTTCATTTCATTTTTTAAGAGATGGGGCCTCACTCTGTTGCCCAGGCTAAAGTGCAGTGGCACAATCTCCGCTCACTGCAACCTCCACCTCCCGGGTTCAAGCGATTCTCCTGCCTCAGCATCCCAAGTAGCTGGGATTACAGGTGCCCACCACCATACTTGGCTAATTTTTGTATTTTTAGTAGAGACGGGGTTTCACTATGTTGGCCAGGCTGGTCTTGAACTCCTGACCTTGTGATCTGCCTATCTCGGCCACCCAAAGTGCTGGAGCTGTATTACAGCCCCAGCTGTAATCCCATACATGTGTATATATATATGTATATGTGTATATATATGTGTGTGTATATGTGTGTGTGTGTGTTTATATATATATATAT